TTTCTGGGCTGTAATACCTCAGCTTTTTTCAATTACATTGACATTGGGTTAAAACTTTGTGCTAAACATGCCAGTCCAGATGTGCATTGTGTGTGTAATAGGACAGGGGTAGCCTGTTTACACAGATGTATTTTAGTTTATTTGTACTATGAGTTGGATGTGGATTTATATTAGTGAGTGTAACACTGCTAAAGAGCCATCTGAGAAAAAACAGATAGAGTTGGAACCTATTTGCTGGAACTTTCATTATGGGTCTAGTGCAGGTTAGAGTGGAGGAAATATCCCTTCAGTATGCAGTCAGTATTATGTGATTCCCCTCAATGTGCACTGGCTTTTCTAGCCTTCAAAACATTTTAATTAATGTAGTTTCAGCTAAGTATTTTTATTTAAAAAGCTAAATAATTAAATCAGTTATTAAATTTCCTTGTCTATTTTTTTTCCATTTCAAAAATTGTGGATTACCTCAAGTTTTGGGAAATGAAAAGCATGTGTTTTATAGACCTGGTAATAGAAGGTTTGGAAGGCCTTCAGAACTTATGGAAGAGTGTGAAAATTGAAGGTGTTTTCCTTTTTCTCATCTATGTTCAGCTAAAAATATGTATATAGCTAAAACTTTTTTTCTTCTCTTTCCTGAAATCAGTAGTAAAAATGTGTTTGTGAGAATGGCATGGCTAGTGGGATAGCAGCCTGTGTTTGGCAATGCCTAGGATTTGGTTTGCTCTCCATTTGAGTGATGACATGTATAGCTAAACTCATCTATTTAACCAAACAGGTTTCTTGATTGGGAGTGGGATTTGGATTATTTTCCCCCTTTGCCTTAAGTTATTAATTCCACAGTTGAAGATTGTTTGCAGACAAACTTTTATATAGTTTGTCTTCTGAAGCCCTTCTGGGTGTTTGAGTTGTGATAGCATAGTAAGTGATACATGAATGGAATTTTGGGATTGAAGCCTACAACCCTGAAACCTACATCCTGAATATTCCAAGAGTTCTTGTTCTATTAGAAATGGGGGAAAGCAGAGCAATGGGAAGGGTATTGTTTTCATGGATGATGTGCAGCATGTGGTGCAGAGCTGCCTTGCTGTGCTGGACAGATACCACAGCACGGTGTTCACCTGCTGGCTCAGCTGCCACCACACGCTGTTATGACATTGCAGTATCACTTGCACCAGAATTTGGGTTTTTGGCTTGTATTTGCTCAGTTAAATTCAGGATGTGAGAGTCAGGTTCTGCGTGTACTCCCGGGAGCGTGCCAAAGACCTCTTCCTTCCTCTGAAAGGTTAAACAAATATGGTTGTCTAACGATAACCACATGCCTGGAGCTGTTCAGGCTCATGGGAAGGGAAGGAGAAGAGTTGATGTGAAGCCCTGCTGTTCATCACAGAGCTCCTGCTCCCGTGAGAGGGTGAGAGACAGCACTTCAGTCACATGTGAAGGGCAAAAAAAAGTAGTTATTCAATGCTGGACACTTTCCTGGTTGTGCTTCTGTAGTATGGCAGTGGCAGTCCATGGAGAACTGAGAAGAATTTATGTTATGTGACTTCTTGGTCTTTTTACATAGTGGCTCTTCGGAGGCACTGATAAGGAAAACATCACACCCTTTTGAAGTGGTAGATAAGGCACACTTAACTGACAAGGAACCAGTCAGAAGATGCAGTGATTTGTTAGGGGCCACAAAAACACACCTGTGTTAAGAATAAATCTTAGGACTTCTAGTCTCAGTTTCATGGTTTGATTACAACACTCCCTCCTAAATATTGACCTGATATACTGTCATTTTGTTTTGGTGCATGTTTGTCTCATATTGCAAAGTGGTTTTTGGAATAAAAAGAAAAAAAAGCAAAAATACTTATTGGAAAAAAACCCCTCAGAACATCATCAGAAACACTTAAAACCTGCTGAAGTTGTTTTTTTGGTTTTTTCTTTCTTTTTTTCTCTCTCTTTTGTTATTGTGAAACATATTGGCATGAAAATAAAGCCGATAAACAAAGCCAGTGCTGCTATTGCAAGCATTAGAAATGACAAAACTGAATTAAAAAATAATGAAACTTGAAAATTAGAAATGTTAAGTTCTTTTTATCTCTCTTGTGCCTACACCAGTAGAAATCTGACTGAGGTGTTTTTCATATTTTTACATGTAAAATTATGCACAAATTTGCGCAAATGTACAAAATCCAGATACAAGTCCTGTGGTGACTGATGGCTCTTCTGTAAACATACAGCTCTTAATGGATGCATGTAGTATCCTTCTCTGTGTTTGTAGAACATGAAAAAGTAGTTGTAGGATAAATGATTAATTCACTTCAGACATAACACTTTTCATGCTTCATCTACGGTGAGGTTGATGTATTTTGCTTTACAATCTGGCTGCATCCTAAATGCCCTTACTCTGAAATGGGCATTTCAACAAGTCTGACTTTCCTGGAAGGACCAGCAATACCTCAGTGCATCTTAATCAAGCCACTGGTGTGTCTAGTCTGGAAAAAACTGCATCACCAACTTTGTTGGCTTAAGGGAACAGTACTAATTACCTATAAGTGAATGTAGGAATAGAAGATCCTTAAAAATTAAAGCAAATACCCCCAATCCCTGGAAATGTCCAAGGCTAGGTTGGACAGGGCTTAATGGAAGGTGTCCCTGCCCACAGCAGGGGTTTGGAATGAGATGATCTTCACAGTCACTTTCTACCCAAACCATTCCATGGTTCTAGGAAATAGCTCTTGTTTAGTAAATTTTGTATTGTCTTCAAGGTCAAGAATAAAATCAGATACTTCAGAGTGTCTGATTAGATGGAAGGATGGCCTTTGCCTTTGGACATTACAACAGTCTGTAGTTTCACTTCTGGAATTTCACGTATGACTGCATGCACCATGTGTTTTCTGTTGTATTGAGAATAAATTATTTTGTCCATGGAAAAATATTTCCTGCTTACTTTAACTGGTGGAATGAAATCTTGCTGAATCTGTAGTGATGGGGGTCTGTCTCTAATAAATAAAACTAATTCTATGTTAGGGTAAAATATTGTCTCTCATTTTGTGATTGCATTTATGTACCTGATGCAGAACATGTGTGTGCTGATGAGATATATCAGGATTCCCACATATTGATCTTTTTGGTCCTAAGTGAAGTAAATTTGTCTGACTTTTACCTTTCAATGAGGATATTTGTCCACTTGATGAAACCCCCATGAAATTTGGTTCTCTCTTCTAGAGGAGACATGGGGTAGAATAGCAGTGGGAGTAGAAAAAGCTGAGTTTAGGGGTTTAGACTGAAGCAGGGGCCTTGGTTTATTCCTTTTGTGCAGAGTTGGACAACATATTAGGCTGAGGTTTTAGAGGGTAGAATCTCCTGAAGATGACTGTGTTGTATGGGCAGTGCCTGCTGATATTTATAGCTGGTTTTAGCTGTAGCTTTTCACTTAAAAAAATCAGATTCTTAGTGCAAATTGATGACAGATCACCAGAGTGAGAGGAGATGTACTTGCACATCCTCGCTTGAGAATGTGGCCCAGACTGCTCCATGGAAACAAAAGAGAGAAGCAGATGCGCTGCTAGTTTTTGCTTTAAAATCTCTTCTGCACGCCTGAAATGGAAATGTGCTCGTTGGGTTTCTCATTTATTTGCCTCTAGATAATTTTTCCCTGTGGAATTGCAAAGCTTCCATGTCCTTTGCCCTGAAAGCAGGTGCCCTGCAGACAAAGGCTGGTACCTGTCTGTCACCCCCTCCCTGTCATTGCTGTGCACCATCCACCTTGAGGATGCCTTGACCTTGTTGAGCAGCTTTGGCTGTTTAAGGTGTCAGTCCCAATGTCAGGAATCTCTCTGGTGCAGGAGGCCTCTCATTCTAAATTTCCTGTCCTGGTTTGTGGTCCCCCCTCTGGCTGCAGCAGGAGGTTCGCACTGGTCCTTTTAAGGCTTCCTTGTCTGAGCCATTTACTGTCAGTGCAGTTATGTCACATTTAACTTAGCAAGGGAGGTGCCATGTGAGACCAAACCATCATGAAAAAGGGATGGGATTCAGAGCTAAGGTACCAACTACACCTTGGGTAGAAGATTTGGTCCTCACTTAGGCTTACAGAGTTGCAGGTGTAGCTTGTTGATTGAGAGGTCCTTAAATTGAAGCTATTTTATTCCTGTGATAGAACAGTGGCTGGACACATTTGGTTTACTAACACATTTCCTTTTTCTTAAGGAAATGTTCTTTTTCTTGGGCTGATGATGAGCCACCAGACAGTCTGGTTTGTTATATCAGAAGGAGGTTATTGCTTCTTCAGGAACACTAAGTTGGACTTTGCATTTACGTTACAGGCATCAGATGTGTATATATATATGTATATATATATATATGTATATATATAATTTTTGTTTGCATACAATTAAGAAATACCCTCTAGCATTGAGTCACATGGATTCAAAGTTATGTTGCATAAAAGAGGATGTTACTATTTTGGAAAGACTTGTGTAGGTAAATTTTTTACATGATTTCATTGTTGTGAAAGTGCCCAACTGATGTTAGTCAAAAAGGAGAAGGAAAAAGTTAATGACAAACAACAGATCCTAGACTGACCCAAAAAGGGGCAGTCTTCCAAGAAAGAATGGAAGCTTTGGAATTCTTTCCCTGTTATATTTTTGGACAGTGCTAAACTCAGGCTGTGTTTTGAATAATTTTTTTAAAGCACTTCCAGCTTTAAAGCAATTTTCTTACACCTAGAGAAATTTGAGACTGTGTTTGTTGAATTCAAAGGAGACAAATGTGAATTGATTCTGTCATGGTTCTGCTTTGTAAAGTTGCATGTCGAGAGGTAAATAACATACAGATAAATAACATGCAGGCAGACTTTTGCCAGCCTTACTGTTGTAGACTAGGCTTAACAAAAGGCTCTAATGAGATCATTAAGGGCCCAGCCACACCAAGCAGCTGCTGGGGAAACAGATTTTAAGACTTAAGTTTCTTATTTAATATAAAAAGTAAAAATGTCTTGTGTTTTATTTTTACCACAGGTCGACTTTACTTGGTTGATACAATAGCAGGAGATCCAGAGGTTCTGCAAACAGATGCTGAAACATACTATGAAAAACTCTTGAAGAAGTCACTGTCCACTCCTGATATTTTCTCCATCCCTGGAGGAGGAGAGGTAGTAGGCTGATGTTTCTCATGCTTGCAGTTAGATACTTGCAGATGAGTTTGTTGATTGTGCTCATATATGCTAATAGGGTTAAACTGGTATGGCTGGATTGCAGAAGAATTCAGTAAATCCTGCCTTGTTTAAAATAATTTGCATGCTGTAAATGAGAGATAAGCTTTAACTCCAAGTCTGAGTGTTGAAGAGGGTTTGAAGTACTTTGGTGAACTTTGCATCTTGACTTGCCTCCTTACAGGACTGAATCAAAAGCGAATTTTATAGAGATTTATACCACAGAGCTGCTCTGTATTCTGCCTCTGCTGTGCAGTTTACACAGGCATTGTGATACAATCTATCTTTTGTTTCCATCCTTTCCAGTAACTTACATTGGTAATTTTGAGTGTGGATTTTCCCAAAGGAATTCTGTTCCTAAGACACCTGGGTGGAATAGAGATGACTGAACAGGCCTATTAAACATTTTTACTGCAGTCAACCTATGAAACCTTTAATTCTGGCATTTTGTAGATCATAAAAGGTGTGCTGAGGTACCTGTTATTGTGCTATCATAGCAGAAATTGGATTAGTTAAAATGAATGTTTGGAATACAGTTGCTTTTCTGCAATATAGGAAAATAATATGCAGTAGTTTCCAGAAAAATGCTGTTCCAGGTTGGGATCAGCTTCGACTTTAAGCTGGGAATGTAACGGGGTTTAAATACTCTTTTAATGCCCTCTAGTGGAGCCTGTAGGGCTAAATACAGAGTGAACATGCAAAGATCCCCCCGTTTAGGGCTTCTGTGTCCTTACCTTACCTTCCATGCCTGCTTGTACTTTCAGAGGTTCCAGTAGAAGGGAGAGGAGGTTAAAATCCCAGGCAGTGCTCTGTGTATTCCTGCAAAAGCCACACACACTGAGATCAGTTAAAGGTGGGCTTCTGGCTTTTGATTCACAACTGTCTTGATTTTGTGGCTTGTCACCAGCCCTTAAATATATCACATGACTGATTTGAGTCTCATAGCAACACATTTCTCTTTGCATTCATTTAATTCAGGTCTAATCTAATCTGCAGTCAGCCAGTGAAGGGTATAAGTAATGGTAGTGTTCTTGCTGTATTGTTTTATTTCTTATAGTCTATAATAAATAGCTCAAAGAATGTTGATGTTTTGTAATTTAAAATAATTCAAATATAATAAGGTAAAGCTTCCATTCCCAGTGAAGATCCCAGCTAACAGTCTCTATTATAGACCCACAACCTGAGGGATAAAGGGTTTGGTGTTTGAATAATGGCTGCATTACCAAACATTTTTTTCCCCTTCTGCATCTGAATTAAACCAGGTCTGAAGTGGCAGGACTGGCAACAGTGAATAATTATTTAGCAGGAGTTAAGTGGCTGTCAGCCCACTTGCTGGGGTCACAGAACTTCTTTTTGGTATGGCTTGGTCAAGCATTCCGGACGCAAATAGCAAGGATTACTGCGAGTCAGGATGAGAGCCCCACAGGTTGGCAGCAGCCACACACAAAGCTGTGCTTGGCTCACGCTGCTCTTGTTAACACCTGTGAAAGTGCACATTACCTTATCAAACAAAATAACAATCATGGCAGTATTGGAAGTAGTCCTGACCTCTTCATTATGGAAATACTCCCAGGTGCTGTAATGACATTGATGCTGTTATGTTTGAAGCATGCAAAGAACAACTGAATCCCCAGATTTAGGCAAGCTCATGCATACAGATTTCAAGCAGTTTTCAAGTTGGTTTTTTTTTTTTTTCCCTGGAGTCCAGTGTTTGCATAGATGCTTCCAGGATTCTGGCACTCATCAACTACTGAACACTGGTTTCAGCTTAGAGTTGTTATCCAGAATAATCCATATTCATATTTCTTCCATGTACCAAGAAATATTAAATGTAACACGTGACTGATTTGAGTTTCATAGCAAACTGACAAATGGGTGCAATTAGAGAGAGAGGCACACCCACACATACACAATGGACCAGATTTTGGAAAGTACAGTACATACTGTGCTAAGTCATGCACGCTCTTTGCCTGTACCTAAACTTACATGACAGCATTTGCAATATTCATATGGAAATCGTCATTTCTATGCATATAGAGCTGTTTGAGCACAGTAATTTTGTGTTTGTGTCACATCATTTAAAAGTTTAGTCTAAGAGCAGAAGCTTGAGAGCTGCATTTTGATTTTAGCTTTGCCTTCAACTTAACCACCTTGTGCCAATTATCTACCCTCGCTGTGCCTGGAAGATAAACTGCCCAGCACTGCCCTAATGCTTTGATACTCCCTGTACCCTGAGGCTTAATTCATTGTTTGCAAAACACCACAAGTACTCAGCTTCAGGATGCTGTAAGAAGTGCAAGTTGTATTTGTTTTCATTTGATGTGTCTGGTCTTTCATAACACCATTTGTCTGCGTGTGACAGTGCTCAAAGCCAGGTTATGTACTAACCAGGGCAAGTCAGCATTAAGGTCTTCACTAACTTCAGTAGCTTGATTTCTTTTAAAGTAACTTTCCTTATGGATAATATTAGAATATTATGTATATTTCAGTGCCTTGAAGTTGAGGATTTGAGAGGGTGTTGTGCTAAGCTTGTACCATGCATGTCAGCAAAGCATGTCAATAAAACATGTCATAAGTGCATCTGATATGTGAAGTACTTGTTGTGAGCTACAAAGAGCTACAGGGCTTGTTTGTTTTTTTAGGTTAAACTTGAAGATTCCTGTGTGTGCTTTGTCCCTCTCTACCGGAATAATCCTACTTGCAAACTGTTGCTGTTAACTGATCCAAAGGATAAAGAGACAGGTTAGAATTGGTCAAAATATTTTGAAATTTGAGTAGTTGTAATTTCTTTACCTTTAAGATGGTCTGCTTGTTTATGTATTTAAATATTCTGGGTTTTGTTTTGAATATGAAGTGGTTTCAGTTTATCTGTCAAGGATTTGTGTCAGTGGGCTGCTGATTAGATGGAAGAATTGACAATCAGGGCTTTTAAGTTCAGTGCATAAATTCTCTGCTGGTAGCTGAAAAATCACCTTGGGTAAATCTGTTATTCTTTCTGACTTTATTCAACAGGATAATATTTTTCTAATTCAGAATGATGTGCAATTTAAACACATTATGGTTTGGATAGAATCCTGAAATCCTTAAACAATAAAATGCAGGTATGAAATTGTATTGCTTTTTACTGACTCTTACTCATATTCTTCTTTTTGCTTTGTGATATTTTTTTCAGTTCTAGGTTTAATTGCCTTTTTTCCCCCAGTACTGGTGTGTAGATGAAGTGAGGAGTGTTGGTGTTGTTGTGAAGCAATGGGCTGCAGAGTTTTTGGCATATCTGCAATGAGGACATGAACTTTTGCATTGACTCACTGTGTCACTTAGGAAATACAGAACACATGAAACCTCTTAAACTTCCAGCTTCCAAATGTGGTAGCAAACTTAACGACATCTGTCATTAAAAAGTGTACTTTTTAAAAAAGGAAAAGCTATAAATTATACCTGAAAGGCTTTAATAGCCAGTATTCTTAATAATACAGCAAAGGCAAAGCAAAATCCTCTGTTCAGTTCCAAGAGTGGCAGGTAATGATCTTGCACTCCTAGAACAGGTTCTGTTAGTGTAAGTGTTCATTGTTCAGTCCTACCCTGTAACCAGGAAATTTCTTCAGAAGAACAAAAAGCAGATTAAGATCACCCGTGGTTGGAGGTGAACTCTGCAGTTTTCCATCTCCTTCTGCACAGGATTTCAGTTGGACCTTTGCTAATGGGCTGTGGTTCACAGGAGAAGGTAGGAGACCTTTCCAAATTCCAGGTGTAGTCAAAAGACTTTCTGGTCCCTCTAAAACTACTGATGTAGAATTACTCTTCTGACACTAATTTATATATTCCATTAATGTTTTTCTGAAGAGAGATACACACTGGTGTGAAAAAGAGGAGAAGCATCTACACCAGAGGCCAAACTGGCTCTCGGTGCAGTTGTGCTCGTCTCCTGACTCATGTTCAAAGGAACGTGGCTGAAGACAGCACTGAGTTAATTTAGGCTTCACAAGAGGCATTGGGATCTGTAACTACAGTGCAGAAACAAAGAATTATTAAATAGATGCAGGTGAAAGTGCATTTAGCACAGCTCTTCAGTTAAATGATCTCATTTAGTATTAGGAACAAGAAGTATTAATGAGATACAAGCACACAAGGAAAAATGATTTCTCACAGGAACAAGTCAAACAAGTCCAATTGGAGCCTAAATTACATGATAGCTATCTTCATTAAAAGCTTAAACCTAGCAGAATAAACACCTTATTATATTATAAACAACAGCCTGACTGACTGCTGTGACCCCCCTTGCAAAATTTCAGCTTAAGTTACCAGTCCAGAGCTAGAGGAACAGAGAGATCTCTAAGCCTGCTACATCACCTGGCTTTTGGTATTTCCTTACTGAAGTGTGATTTAAAGGATTTTCTGGAAGTTCTTTGTTTCTGGATTTTATATATTATAAACATGTGGCCAATCTTCCTGCACACATCAAATTTGACTGATGTGTTTTTGTTTTTTTTTTTTTTCTTCAGATGAGTGTTAATAAATTTTCATTAGTTCTTTAAGGCCTGCTGGGATGTGTGTGCATACCTATACATATGGGTATATACATTTGAAGTATTTTGTCCTAAATTTTTCCAGCAGCTCAGCAGGTTTGGAATTGACTCTTAGGGTGGCCGACTGTGCTAATGGGGCAACTCCACCTGGATTTGCTCACCTATGTGACCTTTTGTTCTGACCAGTGAACACATCAAATTAATTTAGAACAAATTTTGTCAGAGAAAGGCAATATATTTTAACTTAGTCTTTGTTACTTTAAGGATATTTGACTTTAAGGGCAGAAAATGAAAACATTTAAAAAGTTACATAATTTTCTTTTCCTGAATCGAGCTTTACATTTTTCTTGTGAAACAAGTTTCATCCAGATGGAAGAGGGAAACAATCTTGCTGTAGGTGATATCTTCTCTTCCTCTACCTGTCCACTGCCTCTACATTTTAGTTTTCTTCCCCAGCAGGAGAACTCTTAAAAGCAAATTTCCTGGTTGTCCTCAGATACTCTGTTTTAGTTTGATGGTATTTAATTCTTGAAAATTGGTTTAAAGAGGGATGGATTCCACCAGTGAGATTTATTTCTCATCATCTTGATAAGATGGGTTGTCCAGAAGTGATGTGTAGCTTGTGGTTTGAAATGATCTGCATATTTCAAAGAGAAAATGGGTATGGCAGCTTTTCTGTAGGACTTGGTCTTGGTTGGAAGCATTTTAAATTTATTTTTGATGGGCTGAGTGTTGTGTTCTGTTAGTATATCTGTACAGATATTTTTATGAGAATGTAAATTGCATTGTAAGGGCTTACAGAGCATAACATGGGTGATTAACATCTTTATAACACTAAATAAACATACCTTATTGTGGCATTTTCTGTATGCTGCATGTAATAATTCACAATAACTGTGAGATGCCTTGGAACATTTATCACAAGACATTTGCAACAAATCACTGAGTGAAGCTTGAATAGTAGAAGAAAATGTAACTGGTTGCAGGAAAGATCTATCTGAGATACTTGAATGGCTGCCATTCCAGCAGGAATCTGCCTGCCTCCCAAACTTTAATATATTTGTTTTGATAAAATTCCTAGAAAAGAGTGAGAAGTGCTCTTATTCCATTTTAAAGACAGGGAACTGTGGGACCCAGCTAGTTCAGGGTATGTCAGTGCTGCACAATGCAGTTCAGAGTAGCATTTCTGACCTTGCTCCAGTATCAGAGTATTTCCACAGTGGAAGTTTTACAAAAGTGACCTCTTTAAGTGTGTCAGTAATCTGAAACAGTGACAGGATTAAGGTAAAGATGACTTTACAGAAAGTGCCACTACTTTATCTTAGATTTGTTAAACAAACTCTAATTGCATCTCTCATATGTAACATCACCTTTATTTAGTTTGTAACTGAGGGATGCCTTTCAGCAGTTCAGATAAGGCAGGGGGAAAAGAAGAGTCAAGCTGGATGTTGCTTTATTTTTTCTTCTTTGCTCTGTGTGTAGAATCTGATGTGCACATTTCATTTAAATAGCTGCACACCAGTGTGGGAACATTTGGCCAGCATAGCCTAGGAAGTAAAAATATAGTCCAGGCCTGAGTTGGGAAGGGATCCATGTTTGTCCAGCAAAAGTAGACATTTCATAATCACAAACTGCATTATGCTTGGTGCCTAATTCAGTTCAGTCCTGGATTCCAAACACCCTGTGCTGTGGAATCCTGTGCTCCACTGCCTGTCAGCTTCTTGCAACACTCTGTGTTTGTCTGAGTGCAGGTGATGAAAGTACTGAGATTTACCAAGCTGGTGCTTACAGGGCAAGCCACCCACCTGAGCATGTGTAAACCCCATTAATTGTGACCTGAAATGCATTTCACCTGGTCTTGCAACTGCAGGATCAAGCACATCAGGTTTTGCAGTTGCAAGGTCACTGCAGTCACACACGTCATGATTCACAGGGTTCAGGTGATGTGTGCTGGCACTAACTCCATCTCCTCTGATCAGGTGAACTTCACTGAATGTTTTGGAAAGAATAACAAGACTGGGAAAGGAGAGAGAGGGAACATGTGGTCTCACAAATCATGTTTGCATTTGAAGTAGTGTTCCTCAAAGTTGATTATAAAATGAAAATGAGAGTATGGGGAAGCATGGATGGATTTAACTGCGGACCAGATGTTGACTTGAAAAATGATAACAAAAAGCAAAGTACATATGTTTGTGTGAAATCTGGAGAAATGTTTTTCCTTCAAGGAAGGCATCCATATAGATAAGGTTGCTCAAGTAATGTGATGTGACAGTTGCTATGTCAACTAGTGTTCCCTTCCACACATTTAAATTATTGAATAGCACAGTAAATGTTCTATAAAAGCAACTCCTTCCAACATGGTTATGCATCTTCCTGTTTTCCTCAAAGCTTTTAAAAACTTTTCTGACCTTTACTATGTGTCTTGTATGTCTGAACTGTGTGCCAAACCTCTTTGCAGCTCTTATTAAAGTCAGCATTTGGCCCATTATGTCCCCTTTGTGTGACTCAGCTCCCTTTGTAGCTGCATGTTTCATGGATGTGTAATGGAGCAGTGGCTGCTGCATTTGAAAGCAGAGGGAAGGGTTTGAGGGAACAGATTGAATCCATCACAGAAAGAGTATGAAAATCCCATGCAAGTAAGTGCATAATATTTAATGAATTGAGTCTGCTGCTATAAACAGGCATCTGCCCTTGCGTGCAATACTTCTTCCTTGTTAACCCAGCACACAAAGTGTAATGCTTTTTGGCACATGCTTTAATAATTTATTGGAAATATAAGTTAGCTAAGCGGAATCTCCAGCCTTAAAACTAGCAGGAGTGATAGAGTCTGAAGCAAAAAGGGAAATTAACCAGTGTGCATCAGTGACAATCGTATAACCTGAGGCTAAAACAGGTAAATGATGAATCCTGTCCTTAAAGTAATTTCATTTCCATGTGTGTGAATTTGTTTCTAACTCACAGATAGTTTTGAATTTTCTCATATTTGTCCCTAGCTGGGTAGGTTAGAGCCAGTTGTTGGAGCACTCTTTTAGGACTCAAGACATGTGAACTCTGTGCTGTTCTTTGCAACATTCTTCCTATATATTATATTCTATCTTTCTGTATAAAAATGTACATGGTAGGTGCCCTATTTGGAGATATTAAAGATTGGTGTTCTTGAGCAATCCTGAAATCGTGGCCATGTACTTTAGGTGAATGTCATCAGTGTACAGATACTAAAAGTTCTTTTGGCTGAAATATTTGCTGTTTGATGTGTTTGTGGTCATGAATGATCAGATTGCTGTGTTTATTTCAAAACCTCATCTAAACCCTTGAAATTTATTCTCTATCCTTTGAAATGACCCCATGTCAAAATTTTTCTTTCTGAACAAGGCTTGGAAGTAATTTCAGTGTCATTGTTGCTGCTTCAAGTCTTTTCCTTGTAAATCTATTGGCAGGCAATGAATTCTGTAGATGAACATGTAGGAGTAGGGTTTAAATACTTGTTCCTGCAAATGTGAAAAATTGAGGAAGGATGGGAAGAAGTGGGGTGCAAGTTTTGCATCACACCTACACGAGGACTTGACTTGCGTGGGTTGCTGATACACTTTGCCCTGAAGCAAAAGTGAATCTTATTTTGTGTGTCTATGTCTGTCTTTTGTTGATAGGAGCCTCTCTGTGTGCATTTGAACCTCGGAGAATATCTATCCATGCAGAGATTTAGGGGCCTGTACTCTAAAGCTACCCATAGATAGAAATTCAATCACAGAGAGCTGAAAAGCTGTTTGATAAAGCAGATATGAGAGTTTTTGTGTTGGACTTGCATGAGTGCAAATATGTGCACTCAAATATATGCAAATATGTATGTGTGGGCAGGGGAAAGTTTGAAAGAAACTTGAAAACTGTAACCTTTATCCCGGTAGCTCCACTGTCCCAAATGCCACTCAAGCCTACTCTGCTACTGAACTTAGTATTAAGCAGGAAGTGCTTTATTCATATGGAACATAGGCTGTCACACCAAAGTCACATCAATTCCTGAGAAAAATTACTTTCACTTGATGCCTCGTGCGGTACTGAAAATTGGATATCAAGGGACGTGGAGGTGAAATTGAAATACAATTGTTGTTGTTCTGTCTCACAGCAGAACAGACTGGAGTCAGCTGGAGGGAGCAGTAGATATGAGGCTGCCTGTGGAAAAATTGAGAAGCTACTTTGTATTTCTGGGTAACATGCTCTCCTGTTGTTTCTGTAGTTTTGGCAGTTTATTTGAGCCAGCGCTGGTGGCCTGTGGAAGATGTTGTGAAGACGGCTGATCCTGCTAGAGATGGGCTCATTTTGGTGAGGATGCTGTTTTGAACAGTTGCCTTTACCCTGGAGCTTCCCAGCCAGAGCAATTGTATGGAATTGTCTTTGGTCTCCAGCAGTTCCTGCTCTGAACCTGTGGGATCTGGACTCTGTGGCTCACCAAGTGCTTCACATCTCCAGGACACAGTGACATGCACATTAGCCCTCTCTAAACAATTCTGTGCATGCAGCTTATGATTCATCTGTGGGGTTTATTTTCTTTTGGTTTTTAGTTTACCCTCGCTACCTACTAAAGGAATAATCGTAAACTCAATTACTACATTAGCAATAATTTCTCACATTAACTGTCTGGTGGGAGGTGTTACTACCCTTTGGAACAATGTCTTACCTAGCTAGTTCTGATTTTTTTTTTCCTTGGATAATGTTTATATTGTATTCATTTTATGAAATGGTTTCTATTTAGTAATTTCTATATCCATAATTATTTTTCCAAATAAATTATTTTGGTAAGATAGAACTACTTTTTCATAATTTGAAAGATTTGGGTAGCCTGGAGTCTGTTTGCAATCAAAAAGTCAGATGCCTGCTGCATATGAGATTTGTGTTGCCATAAGGTTATTAAGTCAGTTTTGTTTCCTACCCACCTCTCAGTATCTTTGGTCCTTAACCATTCCATTCCTTTATCATCTTTTCCTGTCACACATAGAGTTTGATTATTTGCAGAATTAAGTCGGATTTTTATGGCTAACTGAACTAGAGGGATTTTGAGATACCAATCCTTGCAAGAGAGAACTTGGAGCAGGAACACAGGCCTTCAGGCTTTCAAGCATCTCTGTATCAACAGAGAATGAAAATAATGTCTGAAAATAGAAATCTTACCCCCTCTAGCTCATTGCTAAAAGGTAAATTGCCATTATATGTGGAAACTCTCATTTCTTTTTCAGCATTCGTGTGAAGCTTGTTGGCAGCAGTTTTTACCTTGATGATCAATATAATCTTGTTCCTTTATATTCTTTTATCTCCCTGTCCTGTCTTTTGTCTCCTAAGAAGGCCAGCACAGAATGATTGTTCATGTTACACCTAGATTATAGCTGGCTGGGACAGACCATTCTCTGTTTTGTATAGTGTCAATCTCAGTAAGGTCCTGGCCCACTAAATTCTTCACTGCTGTGGCAATACAGGTAATAGAGGAGAGGTGACCAGGCCCACAGTGTGAATCCCATCTTCATTTCACTTTTGAGTAGGACTAGATTGCCTTGATCCTGGTTCCAAATCTGTGACTGCAATCAAGATACTTCTGCTGCTTTAAAATTCCTTTCTGTGACAACAAGAGATATGTCAAGCTTTATAAATAGTTACTAAATTACTCTATGCCCGCTGGATAGAGGGTGAAACACTAGGAAAAACTGTTTTTGTTATTCTAGCTGAACCAGGAGGTATTTTCCTCAAATTAAGTGTACGTGTTTCCTGACCTCCTCCTTCCCAGCCTCTTTTGATTTTGAAACCTTTTATGAGATGCAAAATACTATTCTCTGCCTCATTTTTCTTTGGTCTGTTTTTGTTTGTTCTCTTAGGTCCAGACATTTGGAGAAAGGATTGTCCTCTTTGTTCTGAACTGCATTATTTTTGGAATGCTGGAAGGGAGTTCAGCTAATGATGCATTCTTTCTACCTCACTCTGCCACCGAGCGTGCCAAGATACTCTGGAGGAACGGCGAGGCTGCTGCCTTTTACTCGGTCAAGATGAAAGGTAAGGTCATTTTAGAGACACATTTCCACTGGTTCCTAATAGCTAGAAATGTAATCCTTTTGTTTATCTTTCAGTATAAATAATCCTGGTTCTCATTTACATTTTTATATGAAATCTCCCTCAGAATTAATCTGGGGAACAAACCTTCCCAGAATTTGGAAGCCATCCATGTTACTTTCATTTAAACATGATAGTTCCAAACCCTATTCTGATCTGAGGTACTGGCTTACTCCAATAAAATGTGCTTAATGCAGCCAAGTAGGAGGTTGTACATCTAGGAACAAAGAATGTAGGGCCTATCCACAGAATGGAGAACTGCATCCTGGAAAGAATGATACCTGAAAAAGGAGGGCAGTTCTCAGTGGATAAAGATATTGGGAGTTGGTGGTGGCAAGAAGAGGAAGGATCCTTGGGTGTGTGAGGGGCAGTGGCTGGGTTGTGTAGAGGAAGGTGTGTGCACCAGATCAGTCCTGGAATGCTTTGTGCAGTTGTGGTATTCCCAGTTTAAAGGAGGATGATTAATTGATTTCATAATTAATTGATTAAGTGGCATAAAAAAGAAACAAAATGTGTTTTAATTCTTTAGGGATACCTGATTAACTTTAGTAAAGTTCTTATTAAACACAGAGTCTGTATTAATGCAAATAATTGCTGTTAACCAGTCTGGAGTGAAAGCGGCTTAATTGGAATAACTCCAGTTGCAGTTGAGCCTGTGCCCCCACATGGGAGCTGGTTACAAGCCTGTGCTTAAGATTCATGGGAATCACCTGGACACCAACAGCTTAAACACAGAGAAGATGGATCTTTGGAAGTAAAATATTGCCCAGGTCAGGACTCAATAGCCATCCATCCAAAATGGGAGAAAAAGAAGCAGCTTGAGAGCTGGGTTGTTTTGGATTCCAGAGGACACTCTGAAGGTGCCTTCTCTGCTGCAATCCCAAAGGCCAGCAACAAGAGATGTTCTGCTCCTTGGGATGGAAAATCCTGATACACAAGAGGTGTAGCTTGTGCAGCACTGTGGTGGTGCTGCTGCACCATCAGTGAGGAATCAGGACTCAGCCTATGATGAAGGAGCCTTGTCTGAATCTCTGATTATGCTGATGAACTGGTTTGTAATGCCAAACACAAGTGCATTCATTTTCCTTTAAGTCCATAAATATTCCTGAGCAAAGCTGTTGGAAAGAAACACTTGTAGGGGCTGTAATGATTCATGCTCCAGTGAAATGAATGTGCACAGTAGTCTGTTATGGGTGGAGTATTAGCCAAGTTGAAACTGTTTCTGAGTAAGTTGAGAGTCACAGTTTGGTTTTAAACCAGGTCCACATAAAATACAAATCCTTCAAGTCCAGCTTTGTCAGCATCTGCCTTTTCTTGCCAGTGTTTTTTTCCTCTGGGCAGCTATATTTGTTAGTTTTTGGCCTGTGTCACAAATTACTGCAGTCTTTTGCCAAAGCCTTTTCGGGAAGCTTGAAGCTGATTGTTTTTGCTGCTTTTTGCTATTTGATGTACGCATTTAGAAAATAATTCCTCTTTCTGAAGTTCTGTGATTTCAATTTCATACCAGCCATGCTGTGGCTGATTCTATTCTCTCTACTGTTTAGAAGAGCCCTGGATTTATTAGGCCCAAAACAGACTAAGATCAGCATCTTCACTCAGAAGCTGTATTTCACACGGTTGTTTTACATATTTTCATAATTTATTTTTTAAAATCATAATGTAAGTTCTTTTTCCTTTTACTGTCCTGGTCAGAACATTTAGTAGAGGCAGCTCTAACTACAGGACTTCATATTGTGCTGGACCTCTGTTATAGCTTCTGGTCTTAGGAAAAAATTATTTGCCTTTGTGCCCAACATGTGATTGTGATTCCCTTTCCATGCTCTGCAATTACCTGACCATTCTTTCCAGTTTGATTTTCTTCACTGGATAATTGAGATTCTCATATTGATGTTGTATTCAACTGTATTTCTCATCTGCGAATTTTTCATTATCTACAGCATGACAAAAAACATGCTTCAGTGGAGGCAAACAAGCCAGAAAAGGTCTGTGGAGCATGGCTCTTTCAAACATAAGTCTTCTGGGTGAATCACAGAAGTGGTGACCAAGGAACAGTGAGTCTGTTCTATCTTTGCTACAGATTTAATGTGTCATTATGCAAACTAAATTTTCAATGGACTTCAGCGATTCCAATTAACTATCTTGGCAATACTGTAATGTCATTTCCATTTGCCAGTTCCTAGGTGGCCTGTACAAAGTGAACTTGGTCATTTTGGTTCAGTTCCATGCTTCCATCCGTCTTACGACCATCCTTAACTGGATGTCTTTTAATAGTCCAGCTAAAGAGGCACAGATGGTCTCGAGCACCCGCCTTGCTCAGAGATGCAGTAACTACTGCAAGTCAAAGTTTTGAGACAATTTGGCCACTTCTGGCACTGGCCACCCTGCACCTGTTGTGTAGATAAACAGAAGTCTCATTCTTCAAGGCTATCACTTTTCATGAGCATTAGACACCTTTATTAAAGCAAAATTTATTCATGACTGCACAGATCATCAACTTGGCCTCTCTGGAATGTGCCTATTCCTGTCCAATGACAGGCATGCAGCATTTACCACTGGGTATACTAAAGATTGATGAGATGTACTAAGCCACTAATGAGGCTGATAAGACACTTTGTCACGTGCCAAGATAAATGTCTCCAATTTTATCTATGTCAGCGGCTTCCATATCAGACAGCTGAGCAGTTAGACCTCAGTAAATGGAGCTACTTAAAGGTACCATAGGAAATGGCAGTTCCCTCTTCCTGTACCTTTCTCTGCAGGCAGCAGCCTGAAAATGAAATATTTTGCAGAAAGCCTTCATATAGATACTTGGGGTTTGGGATCTGTTTTATGTTGTTTAAAGTATTTATTTTATGCTCTGTGTGAAAACCTCAGAAATAATGTGTTCTGTGTAGTGATGTAGGATTAATTACCACGGTTACTGACACTTGTTTCTTGTGCAGTGAGACCATGTAATTCCCTGAAAGTTTTTCTTTTCTTATTTACTGAGGACTAGTAATTACTGAAAATGGACTTTACCACCTTCACATAAATGCCAGGAGAATGTAGAAGATTCATGATACAAATAAATCAATGAGGAAGTTGGAGGATGCAGTGAGCCAGGAGTGTCTTAGTGCTTTTAAGAACAAACCAGAACGAAATCCCTTTTTTATAGACCTTTTTCTGTAACACACATGAGCTGCCCAGCTGCCGACCAAGCTGTCTGTGGTATGAAAAACAAAACAGCCAGATTGTCAAAGCTTGTCCTTCCCTCCTGACAAATCTTAGTAGTAAAAGTCTGGAGTGATGTGAATCAAACCAGCCTTAACCAAACTGAGTCCTCTGAGATGTAGAACATACAGGTGTATCAGGAGTGAGTGCATGGTTGGCTTCTCATTCATTCTTTAGAAATGCTCTACAAGTCACAGTTTAGGAACACCTGACTGCAAAAACTCTTAAGCAGACATGGAGTAGGCAAAAAAGTAACCCTGGCCCCATCTCTGCTTTTTTCTGACACCAGAGCCTTAGAGATAGAAGCCTTGGAAGTGGCTTCCTGAGCTCAAATTCATTTCACACCTTTCTTCATACTATTGATATTGGTGGCCCAGGTGCTATTCTGTAGAAAGAGATCCTTAAAAAGATAACAGGATTTTATATTTTTATTGATTACATACATTTCTTTTAGAAAAAAGAAAAAATTGGCATTGAAGTTAACCTGACAGACAATTAGCTGAAATCTTATGGAATAATTGCTTTTGTCTCCCTCTGTTTGCTAGCAATAATATTTTTAATGTGCATTTCTGAGGCGGATTGAAGATTCTGGCTGTAATGAAAATGAAATGACTACATACCAGTCCAGACATGAATTCATTTAATTTTATTGAAGCCAGAACCTTTGTTCGCCTTCTCACATACAAACTCACACAATGGGTTGACCTTGGGTTCTGCTCTGCAGAAATACTCCCCACCCTTTACACAAGTGCTCAGGCCTGTCCAGACATGTGTGTGCCAAGCCAAGTTGTTCAGCAGGGAAATAGTCAGTGTGCACAACCTTGTTTTGTTTGGGTCTGTTGGATGTGGGGACTGGATTGTTTTTTTTTTCTGGTTTGTGGCTCTTTGGGAATGCTAATGGCTGTCTGCTTTCCTGCCCTTGTAATATCTGTTTGCCATTTTGCTGGCTCCTAAGTTGGTCATTTGGCACTCGTGACCTAACCAAGCAGATCAAAGGCTTTCAAAGGGCAGGCTGCATGAATGCTTCCCTCTCCATCACCAATGCCCTTATTTTCCCAGTCTCCTCCCTCACCTCAAAACTTTGTCTGTGTGTTCCAAACAAACCTTTCAACCAAATGTGTGAGAGCCCAGTGGCCACCTCTGGGCCACCATTAGCTTATGGTAACCTTGTACTATTTGATGGGAAACAGGGACAAAGTGGCCTTTGTTCCCAAAGGTTGGTTTGTTTGTTTATTTTATTTCAAATGCCTGTGGGCTGTGACTCTCCTAATGTGTTTCCCAGGGACAAGGTGAAGAATGGCTTCATGGTTTCTTTATTTATAGTGCCTTTAGACATGACAAGTTTTTGTCATCTTCTCAACACAAAATTAGGAGCTCAGACATAAATCACTCAGCTCCTGGGATTGCTGCACAGCATTCTCATCAGAATTTATAGGAGACAGACTATATGAGATAATAATAAACTTAAAAGAACACTTGCAACATGCAGGAATTCTTAAAGACTTCATGAGAAAAATTTTGTCCCTTAGAACGTATGGTGCAATTCTGCTGGAATTTGACATCTCTGTTGGCTTGGCAGCTAACAATGGGACTGGGGATATACTCAATTTTTTGGCTTATGACAAAAAGAGTAACTACCCATCATGTGTTACAAATATTGAAAGGTTATAAACACCACCACAATCCACCCTCTTCCAACAATGTGCTGGAACATGTGTTTGAAGTTAAGCATGCGTTTTGATTAAGCAGGAGTGAGCCAAGCTTAATCAAGATGTGAATGGATGGTTATGTAGCTACATACTCTTGTTGTATGGCTCACTCTGTGAGATGTGGATTCTTGCTAAATGATGAGCTTGACAAATCAGGGTCTAGAATAAAAAATAGTCATGTATGCTGTGCTGGATTGGCATCCTAGAAAAGAGAGTAATAAAAGTCAGGCCTGTCCAGTATTGGTGAAAGGTTCTGGACACTAACTGAAGGAGCAGAAATAGACCCCAGCTTAAGACAGCTGTAGGAATGTGCAAAAAAAATGGACCTGGTAAGCAGAAGTCTTTTATTGGAATTTAGGAACAGGCATTCAACAGGACATTGATAAAACTGTGAAATAGGTCTTAATGAAGTGATGAAAGCTTCATGTCTCAAAACACTGAAAACCAGACTGAGTCAGGTCCACTAGGAAGTAGTAAGAAGGATAAACCAAGAAGGTCTTGATGAGTCTTAAGCAACAAAGTATGAAAATGTAGCCATTTTCTGTTATAAAGGTCTGGATATCCATTAGTATTTAACCTGCCATGTGCTCAAAAGCAGCATAAAATCTTCATAAATATTTTCTAGAAATTAAAATAAACCCGTGAGGTTTTTCTGTGGGGACCTTCTCCTGTATGTAGGTGCTTGGGGAACTGATGTTGGTTATTCATTTCAGAACTGAGTGCTTATGCTGTAAAGTAGTTTGAAGTTCTATTTTTAGGGTATTCTGCCTGCAGTTGGTTAGGGTGAACACCAAAATTTTGGATGCTGAATGTCTGTTCTTAATCAATTCTCTCTTGACTCCAGTTTGAGTTTGCGATTTGTGATTGCAAAATAAATCCCTTGATTCTGTGTTTTGGGGTTATTTTGGACAATTTTCACTGAGAACTAGTTTTAATAGTTTGGAGGCTTATGCTTGTCTGTACTTTGTCTGCATGTAGAGCATTATGCCATGACCCCGTGATTTCAGTTAACTGACTTAATGTGTTTGTTAGCAAGGACTGTCCTTGAGTGAAACCCCGGGTTTAACACTGACAGTGGTAGTTCAAGTGATGGAATAGAAGCACCTACATGTGTGGTAAATTATCACTCAGTAGAAATGGAGTGACTTACAAAGGAGCTCTTACAGTGCTTTCCTAAAATGCACCACTCAGTTGTTTTTTTAAAGGAGTATACTGACATTACATTCAGAGTAGTTGTATCTCTTTGGTTTTAGACCATTTAAATCTTTGCAGTGAGCTTTCCTATATACATTGCCTGTGTACCAAGATAGTGTGATGAAGAATCAGAGTCTGGAAAAGACTCTGGTGAGACCTGTCAGCCACGTTAGGCAGGTCCTCTCCATTTCATGGAAAAATCATCCTCCTGGAAAGTGTTTTACTGTCTGTGCAAATACACTTCAGCTGGGATCATCCTCACAGCCTGTGGAAAGGTACCAGGGCGGTGTGTGTGGCTGAAATCACAAAGCAGTTAGTGCAGCAATACCAATTTTGTTTGCAAATGGATGTGTTTTTCCCTGTCTGTTTTCAGGGAGCCTGTGTGATGGTACAACCAGTCAGTGTTACCTGCTGCCAGTTTTGGATACTATATTTGTCCAGAGAAAGTACAGAAGAGGTGGCCTAGGGATGAAAATGTTGCATGATTTCTGTCAGTCTTTCCTGGCTGAGGATGCCTTGGGGATCAGCTGCCCTATTTCTGCTGCCATGTATCAAGGTAAATCCTTTGATGTGGACACGTTAGGTAAGGGTCATGTATAATGTATAATTTTCAATATGGTCTTGGCAAGATTGTCCTCACTGTGTAAGAGTTCAGTGCCCTTGTCTGAACCGAACCATTGTTTGCCTGCAACTGGTTCCTCTTCTGGAGCCATCTGGAATTTCCTATGGAAAGGTAGGCCAATATTTATGTAAGACAACAAGAAGCACAAAAATCATGGTCCCTGTTTGACAGTGTGTGTTCCTAGAACTGCTCCCTCTCAGAACTATGTCATTGCCCTAGACAGGGACTTACAGATTTTATTTGACACCACAGGGAAAAGACTCCTAAGATCTTGTCAAGCCCACATTTTGCACATAATACTCTGGTAGATCTTGAATTTTTATGAAATTACATTTAATAATCCAAATACCCAGGCTCTACTCAGTCATACAGTTACATCAGTACTTGTTTTGTATCAACTGTCTTTGAACATTTGTCACTTTTAAAGATCACAAAGTAGTCATATCTCTTCTGTGTCTTCAGGTCAAAACTCTGGTTTTGCTAGTAAAATTCACAGAAAAAAATCTGTGCTCACGTTATTTATAAAACTGTCTTCTTTAGAAAAGTATTTTTTTCTGAGGTTTCTCTCTGTGTGGTGCAGTCTTCACCATCATTTTTGGGGAGATGTTTTGATTGACTTACAGCTTTCCAGTTATTTCCTAATAAGTGTCAAGAAAATTTTGGCCCCACTGTTCTTTCTCTTGATTATTATGTGCCCTTGAATGTATTCAAAAGCACCCAAGCAGGTACTGCTGCTTCTGATTTCAGGAGGGAGTAGTATTGACAGCATTCCTTCTCTTCTCCGAATAATATCCATTTTTCCTGTGGCAGACCTCAGGGCTTTAGAAAGCCTGGAGGAGAAAGCTGCATTTCTTATGTGTTAACACTAGCAATGTATTGGAAGACTGTGCTTTTGTCTCAATTAAATTTACAGCTAATAGTGAATAGATTTGACTTGCATCATGTTTTAATTAGGTTTACTTTTATAAAAATACCAATACTGTTAGTTAAATTTTGAGCATATTGAAGCCACTGTCTGTTTTTAATTTCACTGGAACCACATTTTCATGCTTTGACAAATGAATGCAACCTTTAAATCTCTGTACTGAAATCTCTGAAGCTGTGGACAGTTTATTTAACATGGACATGGTATTTAAGCTGCTGTAGAGGCCTAGAAAGAAGCAAAAAGCTGTGTGGCAGATACCTGAATTCTAGTATAGATGTTAGTTTTAGTAGTTTTTATTGAAATGGTTAATTTAGTCTGGATATCCTTGGATAAAATTAATGTCTACGATCTGCTCATTAGTGTAAGGCAAATGTTTACATACCAGAATTAGGGTTTTTGTTTCAACATCCCATTGTTATACTCAGCTGAATGTTGAAGATAAATTACCCATTCTGTAGTGTGATGAACTACAGGGAACAGAGAATGGCAGTAATTTTGTTGTTTACAGATCACTATCTTAGTGCAGTTGATGCAACTGATAAGATGGCAGTTAAGGGAAGTTGAGAAATGCCCTTTAATGTTTTGAACTGCTTGTTCTACAGCATGTGCCTTCTCTTGACACTGCACACATCCTAAGGATACCACTAAATAGAACATACTTCAGTTTGATAACATAAGCAGACCTAACTTTTTGGATGGTCAGTGTGTACTGACAGTGGTAGGAATCTGTGGCAATATGGTTTATAAAGGTGATTGCACATCCATCACATGTATCCTGTAATTTTTCTGTTAGTTCTTCCCATTTCTTCTTTTCCACATCCAAAGAAATAAATGAACCTAACAATGGGGTGTAGGGTAGCAGTAGTGAAAAGGTGGGTGATTTTGGCCCAAAAACCAAACTGAAGCAGAGCTTTTCTTTATAAACAGAAATTGAAGTAGCATTCTGAATGGCTAAAGCTGGAAGATAGGGAAACACCTTTTATTTCAGAGGAGTGAGGGTAAAAAACCCCACACTGCTGTGAAACCCACTGAGTGTCTGGACATTGTTCTGTGCTGCAGTGTCAGTAGAAGGTGCTCAGCAAATCGTTTCAAGACCTTTATTTCTGCACTCACAAAGAAATAATCTAGACTGAAGCAGATGGCAGGATTCACTCATGACTGTGTAGGCCATTTCACATAGACTTGTAGTAGAAGTCCCAGCTAAAACAAAGAGGAGGAAGATGAGAGAAGAAAGATTTCTAAAGGAACTAGTGAAAGTAGGTCTGAGAGAATTTCTGGGATAGAACATGCTCCCTCTTCCAACATACTTTTCACTCATTCATACTTTTACCCCTTGGTTTCTCCTTTCAGTATGCCAGAAATTCCTGCAGGCTCATCCTGAGGAGCAGAAGCGACTGTGGGAAGTGGAAGCACCAGGAGATTGGAGCCAGCGACTGAATATCTGGTTAAAAATTCAGATGGAGTCATCCCCTTCAGGAAGTGAGTTAAAACAGGCAGTGTGAACTTGTCTGTGTTATAGTTCTATAAAGATAAATGCAACCAAGGGTTAGGTAGTGATCATGGAGAGGTGATGTCTCTGTTGTTTGCACATGGAGGAACTACTGAGTGTGCAGTCCAGTTTCCTCATCTTTTCACAGTAAACAGGACAATTCTTAGAAATTATGAGGTAATGAAATGGAACCACAGAGCATCTGAGAGATCCTGAACAAAGCACAGCCTTGGCATAAAGTGGCTGGAACTCCTGTTGCAGTGCACTTAGAGCAGGGTAGAAGTTAGCCCAAAAAATCCCTGTTGCACAACACATTGTCTGGGTTATAGACAGGGGTTTGTTTCTCTGAAATTGTTATAAAGAAAAAATTTGTATGGCCAGTGGGCAGTGTGTTTAATTACCTTCAATTGCTGCCAATACCATTCTTGGATAGAAACACAAAGGTTTTCATTATGGGTTTTGGAAGATTCCAAGTACTCTCCTACAGGGTAAATCCTTTTTGCTGGGAGCATTTTCTGCCTGCTTCACAAAAGATAGTGACAGAATGGGGAAACCTTTTGGCAGTTCATATGGGGATCTTGTTGATGTAATCTGTTCAGGTGGTTGGAGGACCCAGGCAGGCCCCTCTGCTGCATGCACACAAGCTGTGATAAGCACTGGGTTCCAAAACAAGGGCACACATTGTCTCTTTCTGGAAGTGCAGCAAATTTCTCCCATGCCTTCCCACATCCATCCCGCTCTGTTTTGGCTCGGGAACCTTCTGTTGAGACACCACCTTTCATCTTGTCTGCAGCACCCACAGGAGAGTTAAGTCAGACTTTAGCCCTAGGCTGGGTTCCTCTGAAGCCATTATATCTGTGTTCCTTGTGCTTTAAACCAGCAAAACCTTTAATCTTGCTAAGTGAAGTTTATTAATGGCAACTGAACAGAACTATGATCAGATCAAAACTCAGCAGATCCTGGGGGAGAAGATCCTTTCTTTTTTCTTTCTTCTTTTTGCCATCTTCTAGAAAAACAAATAGATGAATGACCCAAAAAATGGAGAAATATCATTCCACCAGAATTGCTGTCAGTAAAAAATACACATGAAGCTGGGGAACTGCCCTGACTGCAGCTTTCCACTACCTAAAGGGGGACAGTAAGAAAGATGGGAATAAAGATTTTAGCTGGACCTGTTGCAACAGGAAAAAGGATAATGATTTTAAACTAAAAGAGGATAGATTTAGGCTAGATATAAGAAAATAAATTTTTACTATGAGGGTGTTTAGGCCCTGGTACAGGCTGCCCAGAGAAGCTGTGGCAGCCCCATCCCTGGAAGTGTCCAAGGTCAGGTTGGATGGGGCTCGGAGCAACCTGGACTTGTAGAAGATGTCCCTGCTTGTTGCTGGGGATTGAATTAGAAGACCTTTAAAAGTCTCTTCCAATCCAAACTAGCTTTCCACTACCTAAAGGGGGACAGTAAGAAAGATGGGAATAAAGATTTTAGCTGGACCTGTTGCAACAGGAAAAAGGATAATGATTTTAAACTAAAAGAGGATAGATTTAGGCTAGATATAAGAAAATAAATTTTTACTATGAAGGTGTTTAGGCCCTGGTACAGGCTGCCCAGAGAAGCTGTGGCAGCCCCATCCCTGGAAGTGTCCAAGGTCAGGTTGGATGGGGCTCGGAGCAACCTGGTCTTGTAGAAGATGTCCCTGCTTGTTGCTGGGGATTGAATTAGAAGACCTTTAAAAGTCTCTTCCAATCCAAACTATTCTATGATTCCATGATTCTATCTTTAGGGGGAGGTCTCTTGGGAACAAGGTCTTCATTCCTACTTTCTCTGGTTGCATAAAGCAAAACACAATGTAATTCAATATTGTCAGCTCCAATCAGGATCTATGGCAACAACTGTGAAAATAGACAAGTCTTATGCTGCTCTGATTTCTTAGATTCCTGTTGACATTTGCAATGCTGTGCAGTGCTGTGTTTTGGAACAAAATTACTGAGAAGAAAAATTGAATATTTTGCTCATATTATGGATTTTTTTCCCCACACCAGTACTCAGGATTGAATACCATTAATGTTCTTGTAGGAATTCTACAGTCATACATATTCCAAAACAAATTCCTCTGTAATCCTGAGGTCAGAATATTCAATTTTGCAAGGTGGTGTGGCTGCATCTAGTGGCAGTTCATATAAACTGCAGCCCTCTGTTTGCTGCACTTCAATTTGGATGTGCACAGATACAGAGGCATGTATACACACACATTTCTGTCTGTACATATATCTATAAAAATCAAGCTTTTTAGCATGTTGTCACACATAGCTGCAGTCATTCATTCTGAATTAATTCTTATTGTTTGAAAAATGTAGGAGATTTAGTTTCATCAAATAGTCTCAGCAACAGGAACATGGTGACATTTCTCTTCGGGGGCTGATTGGAGGAACAGAAATCATTTCACGTGGTTTGGTTGTGGTTGCTAAATCTACCAGGCAGTGAACAGAGCTGTTTGGAAGTGGTTTAGTAATATACATAAAGCATGTAAATGTGAAGCTAATGCAAAACCAAGCAGGCTGAGAAGAATTAAAATAAATTTCAAGTGATTGCATATAATTCCTTATCAGAATTGGTGAGAGTAACCTGTATTTTCTAAAGAGGATAAAGGAATATGAGTTTTCCAGGTGTAAGAGGTGAACAGATCATCTGGTTAGCAGCACTTTCAAGATCCACAGACATTTTGTTTCTAGTATAGTTGTTCACCTTAGGTTTTTGTGGTGGTGTCGTGGGGCACTCTGGTTTGGTTAATTAACAAAAACAAGGCAAGAGGGATTGTAGGTAAGAGTCAGGTGGCTTTTTCTGGTGTTTTTTTTTAAATGCAAATAGCCGTGGAAGTATGATAATGTTTTTTCCCTTTTAATCTCTTTCTGGGGCAAAATATTCCCCCAATTTCTCCAGAAGCTGAAGTGGGCTCTTGTATGGAGAAGACTCCAACTACTAAACCCAGACAATTGGACCACATGAATAAGGTACAGTAACTAATAATGCCATCTTATGACCTTGTTTTCCATTGGTGGCCTTTTCCCTTTTCAGTGAATTAGAGAGATTTAAATATGAGAGATTTCCACAGGTGTGTTGTACTACAGACTCATGTACCTATGTAAGTAGTTGTTGGAATGAATCAGCTGAGACTCCATTTTCTTCATGCAGAAAGCCAATTCTTTATTCACAAAGCTCATATTTATAGAAAATATCAGAAGGCACTGTGTTAAACCTAAGTGGTCAGCATTGCAGTGAGACTCAGTTTGTTGGATGGTAAGGGCTATTGTATATGTCTATCAAATTTTCTCTCTCTGGACATGTTTACATTTTTCCTTTGTGGGTTCTCATGGGACAAATCTTATTGTTTACACAGGTGCATTTTTTTTTCACTCGCAGAATAGGTTGTTGTGTTTAACGTGCAGGAGGTGTACAAGAGAGCCATTGCCAACATGCCTCCCATCCAGGAGAAACGCCACTGGAAGAGGTATATCTACCTCTGGATTAGCTATGCACTCTATGAGGAGCTGGAGGCAAAAGATGCAGAGCGAACCAGACAGGTGTACCAGGCATGCCTTGAGCTCCTGCCCCACAAGAAGTTTACATTTGCCAAAATGTGGCTGCTGTATGCGCAGTTTGAAATTCGCCAGAAAAACCTCCCCCTTGCCAGAAGGGCTTTGGGGACATCCATAGGTAAATGTCCAAAAAACAAACTGTTTAAAGGTTACATCGAGCTGGAGTTACAGCTGCGTGAATTTGACCGTTGCCGAAAGTTGTATGAAAAATTCCTGGAGTTTGCACCGGAAAACTGCATGTCCTGGATTAAATTTGCTGAGCTGGAAACCATCCTTGGGGATATCGACTGTGCCCGGGCCATCTACGAGCTGGCTATCAGCCAGCCCTGGCTGGACATGCCAGAGGTGCTTTGGAAATCCTACACTGACTTTGAGATGGAGCAAGAGGAGTGTGAGAGAGCCAGGAGCCTTTACCGGCGGCTGCTGCAGCGCACACAGCGCGGAAAGGTGTGGATCAGCCTGGCGCGGTTCGAGCTGTTGGCGGGGCAGGAGGAGCGGCTGCAGCGCTGCCAGCAGATCTACCAGGAGGCCAACAAGGCCATGTGCAGCTGCGAGGAGAAGGAGGAGAGGGTCATGCTGCTGGAGTCCTGGAGGAGCTTTGAGGATGAGTTTGGCACCGATGCCACTAAGGAGAGGATAGATAAACTGATGCCTGAGAAAATAAAGAAGAGGAGAAAGCTGCAGGCCAAAGATGGGTCTGATGCTGGATGGGAGGAGTACTGTGATTATATTTTCCCAGAAGACACTGCCTGTCAGCCCAACCTCAAACTCCTGGCTATGGCAAAGCTCTGGAAGAAGCAGCAGCTGGAGAGCGAAGATGCAACCATGGATCCCAACAAGGACATTGATGAAAGCCAGACTTAATACCTTGCCTTTTCCCACCGCTTTCCTGGGCTGTTGTACAGTATTTTCATTGGTGATAAATAAATGTATTTGGAGAGTTTTAGTAAAAAAAAAAAAACAAAAAACAAAAAAAAAAAAACAAAAAAAACCCCAAAAAAACCCAAAAAACCCCAGACCTGCAGCAGCCAGACTGTGCTGGGTCTTGAGCCCTGCATTTTGGCCACAATAACCCCCTGCAGTGCTATAGGCTGGGGACAGTGGCTGGACAGTGCCCAGGCAGACAGGGACCTGAGGGTACTGGTCAACAGCCGGCTGGACATGAGCCAGCAGTGTGCCCTGGTGGCCAAGAAGGCCAATGGCTCCTGGCCTGGATTAGGAATGGTGTTGCCAGCAGGAGCAGGGAGGGCATTCTTCCCCTGTGCTTGGCACTGGTGAGGGCACACCTCGAGTGCTGTGTCCAGTTCTGGGCCCTCAGTTTGGGAAGGACCTTGAGACACTGGAGTATGTCTAGAGGAGGGCAACAAGGCTGGTGAGGGGCTTGGAACACAACCCCTGTGAGGAACCACTGAGGGAGCTGGGGGTGTTCAGCCTGCAGAAAAGGAAACTCAGAGGTGACCTTGTCACTCTTTACAACCCCCTGAAAGGTGGTTTTAGTCAGGTGGGGTTGGTCTCTTTCTCCAAGCAGCAACTGACAGAAGCAGAGGACACAGTCTCAAGCTGCACAAAGGGAAATTTAGGTTGGATGATTGGACAAAGTTTTTCACTGAAAGAGTGATAAAGTGGAATGGCCTGCCTGGGGAGGTGGTGGAGTCACCATTCCTGGATGTGTTTAAAAAAAGACTGGATGTGGCACTTGGTGAGGTGTTGGGACATGGGTTGGACTCGATGATCCTGAAGATCTCTTCCAAGCTAGTGAGTCTGTGATTTCTGTGTTTGCATATCGAATAACTTTCTGAACTCCACTTGTGCTCTTTTCTGTGCAGGAGCTTGAGTGTGACTTCAGAATGAATAAGCCTAACTCTTTATTGTCCTAATTATTTTATCTCACTGCTGAGCTGCAGATCTGGCCACGTTCAGCTTTTTATAGCACCTAGGCCTAAAACAGGTAGTGAGGTTTAAATGAAGCCTAAGCCATGTATCTGAGAAAACAAATCACAGGAATGAAGCTTTTTCAAGTAATAAAGAAAACGGCGAGATGAGTGGAAGCAAAACAGAGAGCTGCAGGGGTTGTTTCCCCAGCACATTTTGGTTGCCACACAATTAAATCAGTTTGTTTCCTTCAGCCCTGAGTGTCCCAGGGGAGCTGTGATGGCTCCAGCCCCTGTGGTGCACGCTCTTGTTGTGTGCTGTGGCCATGGCTTCAGAGCCCACCCAGCCAGATCAAGGCTCCCTGTGCTCCCAGTTTTCCTTATGGTGACACTTTGGGAAGGCAGGCAGAGCAGCAGGAATGAAGCTGTTCTATACCAAAAACAGCAGTTTCTTGCCTTGCATGTTTATAGCAGCCATGGCTGACAGAAGTGTTTGATATTAGGATCAAGTCACTGTTTATTTTGTTTGTGTATAATTTGCTGTTCATTCTGTCTTGGCTCTAATTTCAGGGTGTTGACTGCTTTCCTGGAGTTGGGCAAGTGGCAGGAGATGCCATGGAGGAGAAAGATGACACAACAGCAGCAGGGACTCTAAACTCACAAGGTCCTGAAGAGGAAAACTTGGAACAAAGTGCAGGTGATGCTCAGCAACGTAAAGGACTCAGGAAAAGAGAAGGTTCTGGGGACTTAGATGGAGACAAAGCCACCAAACAATTTAAAACTACACCCTAATTGCAATTTCAGAAATCAGCAAAATTCAGTATAATCTTAAAAGTTATAATTGACTGTTCTTAATTTGTAACAGTGGAGAAATTTCTCCAGGTATGATGAAACTTTTTTGCAGTACACATTCTTCATTTTATGTTTTGTTTTAAATAAAGCTTTTGTTTACTAAGTGTGGTTTTCTTTTTCTTCTCACCAAGTAATTAAGTAGTAGCTGAGCCTAGTTATTTCCCTGCTCTGAAAAGATTTTATTGGATTGCATGAGGTGTCCAAAGGGGAATAATTGGAGGGTTTGTAGGTACTGATGTAAGAAGATATTTCTATGGAAACCACATCCTGCATTATGGAAGAGAGATACCACAACACACGTTGGTATCAGAATGACAGTTGTAACCTTCCTTTCAGAGCAAACAATTGATCTTGAATTGCTTTCATTTCAGCTTCTCTAGCAGAAAAATCTGCCTTAAACCCTGTGGTGGACAGGATGGCACACAAAGGCCATTCATGCAGAAAAAGTTTGGTGCAGAGAAGAGTGAACAAGCTACAGGCATTAAACTGCCTTTCAGTTCAGGCACTGTGATAATTCTGTGTGCAAGCTCAGGGTGTAGAACTTCATGTAGATTCCATATTGCATGTTTTATTTCCTGTAGGCTCTTTCCTTATGTTTTGCATTCAATTAACTTGAAAATATACTTCACTAGATTACCATGCTGTGGCTTGGTAAAGAAATTTTGCTCTTTTACCACAGGCTGTTTCTGCGGTAAAAGAGCAAAAATTGGAATTTTTTTTTTTTAGTGGGGAATTTCAAAATCCTGAATGTTGTGTTAATGAATTACAGGTGAAACTTGTAAAGATCAGATCTTTAGTCCAGTGGCAGAGAAGGCTTTGCAAAGAGGTGAACAGCAGGAGGGTCCTGATAATCCTGAACAGATCCAGCAACCTGTAATTCTTAAGTGGCTGTCTTGGAACAAGGAGAGGTAGTTGTTTCTTTCCAGAAACTAATCCAGCATTTCCAGGGAGACAGATCTGTGGGCAGGCATTGTAGGTACACTGTAGAGATGTATATTTTTTCCCTGTACAGCATAATTGCTCGCACATAGCCCCATCACCCTGTTTTTGTTTAAGGTTGTGATTTAATGTAGCATTTATTCATGTATCCAAGTAACTCCTTCCCTGTTGAGCTGCTCTGTAAACCATATGCCTGAGACACAGTGAAATCAGACCTTCCTAAGCATCTCTTAAAAAAAAAATAAAAGAAATGCTATAATTGGAACTTACAAGTTTTTGCCAAGAGAATTAAAACAGTGGATCGTGTGCCAGCCTTAATCAGGTTGCTATGGTTCTCTTGTTGCAAAGAAAGTGCATTTAGGACTAACTTTAAAGTCAGTTGATCTTAAGGTTGTTAAAAAGTCACCAAGAGTGTGCTGTGAAACTTCTAGAAACTCCATGTCCTCCTGTGGAACAGCCTATATTCTTAATAAAGGTATGGTTAAATACATACTTTAATTGAAAAAAAAATTTGTGAATAGTTGCAATACCAGTTGCTTTGAAATATAATGAAAAATTATTATATCTCTGCTCATGAAAGCTGATCTGGACTTGCAGTGGCCTGGCAAACTGAACTCATGTCCAGTTTGCACATTATATTATAATGGCAGAGTAAGGAAAACTGGTGGTGTTCCAGCAAGTGAGGAACATGAAAAGTTTTAACCTGAATTAAGTCTTCCAATAAAATAAATTTATATGAGGATAAAGGAGAAATATAAGATAGTGTCTGGAATGGGCAGATGTCTAATTAGATTAAATCCATTCTATATTTGGAGACACTTTTACTTAGAGGGTAAAACCATCAATTTATCAAAATCCCCAAAATTAATTTCTGTTTCACCTGTTGGCTATATTAGCAGCCACTTCTAGCTGTTCTCACAGAAAAGTTGATTCTTTCCTCTGTGTACAAATCTCATTCCTTGATTTTTTTTTTTAGGTTTTTGTTTTCTAAGTATCAAAAATTCTCAGGATGACAGCTGAAGTAAGTAAAGGTGCATTTGCTGAGGATGTGGTGGCAGGTGCTTGGTTCTCTCTAATCAAACAGAGATCATCCTTCTCATCAAAACTGGTGGCAAGTGGAGCCAGGAATTCTGAGGTCCTACTGAACTGTACTAAACTAAAGTTCCAGGAGGGCAGAGGCTTCTTCCATGTTACTTCAGAAATGCTGATTTACAGAACTATTAGTATATAGATTTTTTTTTTTAATATTAATGCTTTAAGGTATGTGGTTAATGCAGAAGCTTGGACCTTCAATTCATTCTTAGCAGTCTGAAGCACTGCTTGGTGAGATCAGAAGAATCCTAAGAGGGTCTGAAGCAGAAACAAATCCAATATTTTCACTGTCTTAACAGAGTAGAAAAACCACACCTAGTAGCACAAACACATTTTTGTCTCTCAGTGGAAGATCTTTTATTTTAAACAAATCTGCATTTACATAGGGATAGGATTGTTTCAGTGTGCTGAAAAGGTTGGTAAAGGCTTGAAAGAGCATTCCAGTTTTTGGAGGGAAGTTTTCAAAAGCTCAGATTTATTCTCCTCCTGAATCTACACCTTGGTCATGACGAGACACGGTGCTGGTTCTGCTCAGGAGACAAGGAGGTGAGTGAGAGAGGGGTGGCAGATCTGCAGAGAGGGAGTCTGTGTCTGGCTCTTACAAGCAGAGACACAGAAGTCTGGCCTGCAAATAAGATGTTAAACATCAAAATTAATGTTAGCAGTCATCTGGTGGGTGTGTGCCAACTGAAAAAAGGATTTGATTTGCTCTCAAGACAAGTAAACATATGGATTTTAAGGCTAGAAATTTCATTAGGTTAATCTGTCATGTTTCACATAATGTAAGCCAGACAATTTCGTGCATGGTTGCTGTGTCAAAAAATCATTGGTTTTGGTTGAAACAATCCAGGTTTTAGAGGGATTGTTTTGATTTGGCAGTTTTGATTTTCAGATGTGGCAGATTTCCCACTGCCCAACGTTTGTTGGCAAGTTGTTCTAAAGTTTTGTCTTTACAAGTGCATCAAGTTTCTTTAGTCTGAATTAATTTTGTTTCAGCCTCCTGTGATGGATTTTGGTTTTCTGTTTAACCATGAGCTGTGGCTCTGGTGCTGTCAAGATGCTTTCAAATGTGGGGATGGAGACCTTGTGGTCTGTCATGACATCAGTGAGCAGCCCTGGTTTTTGGATCAGCCTCTGTGAGGCAGCTTTTCCTGACCTTGCTGCATTCTTCTTGTCCTTTCAGATAGATTTTCAATTTTTCAAATTCCTTTCAGAAGCAGAAACATCATCAGAGCCCCCGTCCTGATCCCGGTCATGCTGAACAATGCGGGGCAGCCGTGACCTGTGGCTGTAAATCATCACTGAATTCTCTTGTGCTTTTGGATGACCAAGCCCTTGGTAAGGTCATAACTGGTAAAACTTAACCAATCTGTTTTGATGTCTGGTTTGTGATATCTGCACTGAAAATGCAGCCTTTCAGTGTCCCCTGTCTCAGTACCACGAGATGGCACCATTACACAGCGGAACTTTGGCGTCATCTCTCGGGGCTGGAGACCCTGCCCGGGGTTTAAATGCATCCTGGCTTGGCTTGGCTTCCTCGGGAAGGAGGATGGGGATGTGGTAAAGCTTGTCTTGTGTTTGTCATTCAGGCTCGTTTGTCTCCAGTGGGCTCCAGTATGAATTTTTTCAAATATTTGTGAAGTCAAGGTGAGTTCAGAGTAGCACAAAATGCAAATTGCACCCAGTTTTGCCCATTTCTACTCTTGTCTCATCAGGAACCCTGGGTGTGACTTTCTGTGTTGCATCTCATTGTTTCCCAGCAGATGATTCTGGCTCTGTTGTGCAAAATTTTTAGATGTTTGGGAATAGAAATGAGCACTCAATAACTGCTTTGACTTGATTCTCAGAAGTGAGCCATCCAAAATCTGCCAAACAAGTGGGTGCCAAAGTAGAAAAGAATTCATGGATGTTCAGATCCACATTTTAGTGTCCTTTCCTATGGATGAAGAAGGGAGGGAACAGTGTAAACTTCATCTACCTGGATACTTTTAAACATTTGCATATTAAATATATTGCAGAAAAAGGGGAAAGTAATGTGTCTAGATTGAATTTCTGCTTTGTCAACTTTGTTGCTCAACTGCATAAACAAAGAATGCAACCCTCTGTAGTTCACTGTTTGTTACTGGCTTTATGTCCTTTATGTATTGTTGTTACAGATGAGCATGCAATAAAATTAAAGTACACGGGAAACCAAATTAGGAGTTTGTAATTAGCCTGCTTTGCTATTTGTTTCCTCTTGCAGTCCAGCTTGATGGTGAAGTCACAGTTTAATCTCCTCTATTTGTATTAGGCTTTATTGACTTTTTATCTTTTGAAGGTTTTTTTTTTTTTTTTTTTTTTTTTTTTTTTTTTTTTTGGGGGGTTTTTTTTTAAAATTTTTTTTTTTTTTTTTTTCATGGTGGTGTTCTTTTAAGAAATCTTTTTGGTTTTAATTTAAACTGAAGGCTCCATTTTTGGAAGATCAATAAACTCCATCTGGAAGAATTCTTTTCTCCCAGCCACCTGACACTTAGATGAAGTTGAACTTTTTCTTTTTTGTTTTTTTACATTCTCTGGGAGGAGATCAGAGGTTGCATTCACCATGATGAGAGCATTTGGGGATGTCGGCATTCATTCACCAACACTGGATTTGTAAATTAATAGCTCAGCCTCTCTGGACTGTGGTATGTTAAAGGTCAGTGACCATGAGAAGAGAAACACTTCAGAGCTGTGTGTGCCCTCTGGTCAGCACAGTGGCCTTGGCTTA